AAAGTGCTTTACATGCTACGAGTCATTCACACCTCATTCATGCAGAGCAGTACCACTTGCTCTAGGGAAGCTAATGGCGCATTTCCACTACAGGTTTAAGCGTGCCGTGCCGTGCCCGGCCCGTTTTTGGTTGCGTTTCCACTAGGCGTAGTTCCGGCTAGCGGGTACTTTTTCACAGTTTTTCTGGCTCTCCAAAATCGAGGTTCTTTCCGGGCCAACAACCGAGCTGAGTATGCTAAACTAGAGAGAGAATCGCTGGCAACTACAACAAAATGAACATATTTGACCGTGATTTAATTGTAATACACGTTTCAAAATGATGCCGAAGTAACAACATACTGATACCGGTTAGTAAAAACCATGAATTAATGCTTTGACAAGTCTGCAGACAGACGGCAGGCGAAAAACCTTTTAAAATGCGTGTTTTCTAAATGGAGATCGGCTAACGCAGTATATGCTCCGACCGTCCACACTCACAACAACGGCCTATACAGACATAAATAAACCAGCGACTGTATTCACCATGACACAGACAGTCTGTGGTTTGTACTTGTTTAACTTTTGTCTAGTTTCTGAACAGATATGAGGAGCTGTGAGCTCTGAGTGCTAACAGCTAACGGCTGATGTTGGTTTTGTGTTTCACATTGAAGATGACGTCACGGCTCCGCTTACACTGCGTTACTATAGTTACTGCCCCAGCTACTAAACTGTAATGGAAACGCAGCATAAAGTGAGCCTGGCCTAACGAGGCATACCGGACTAAGCCGAGCGAGGCCCTGCAGTGGAAATGCGCCATTACATTCACACACACTCACACACCGTTTGGCCATCGGGATTAACTCAGGGTTTAGTATCTTGCCCAACGATACATCGACCTGTTGTCTGCATGAGCTGGGATCGAACCCACAACAGCACTCCCTCACAGCCACAGTCACCCCATAACTGACCTCAAACAGCCAACATAACTACTGCAAAAGTGATATTTGTAGGGATGTAATAAACTGGTTTATTGCCAGGTAGGTTGACACGTACGAGGAATTTGACTTGATGTCATGGTGCATACATAAAATATAAAACAAAACATCTTTAGGAACACTGTAATAAAACACTCCCTGTACAATTAAAGATATGAAAACACAATCTGACGCACCAGATTGTTATTTGTGCCGATACCGACCTTACTAAGTATGTGTTTGCAGTGACACTACCTTGTTCAAACTGGCTTCTATTTGAACACACCTTTAGAACACATTGTATTTTCTGTGTATTGATTATTTAAATGTGCAGCAATGTGCCCTTCCCATCTCTTAATGGCTGTTACATTTCTTATCTCCAGAGTTCAGACGGTGCCAGCTCTGCCTCCGCTGCCAGTCAGCCCGCCTCTTCCTCCTCCTCCTCCTCTTCCTCTTCTGTCCCAGGAAGTTATGATGGCCTGAGGTATCGCGGCGGCTTCCCCCAGTCCAACCCTCAGAGCCCCGCTGGAGTCCCTCAGTGGTGAGCAAGTCTCTGACACCACAGTATACGATACGATAACACTTTAATGGTCAGATCAAGTCTGAAATGTGACTTGCATCACAGCAGCTCCATGTGTAACATCAACACGGACACATGTCAAGACACAATACATGAAAAACAAACAACAAACATTTGACATAACATCACAATCACTGAGAGAAAACATGCTCAAAGACCCTTTGTGCATTTGATCTGGATTCAACTCTGTGTTTACTGAGGATTGACTGGAGCACAAAGGATGCTTCAGTCTGACCTTATTGAATCGAGGGATCTCCCATTAGATGGTAGCAGTATAAACTATACAATATAAACAGAAAATAATATGATTAACCCTTAGATGCCCGAGTGACTGGACCCTACACTCTTCCATAAGGGGGTCAAAAAGGACCCTTATTAGAATAATATGTGTTTTTATGCCATTTTTGTCATTTTGGTTCAGAAGAATCACTTGCATAATAATTAGTATTATATTTTGGTTCACACTAGAAATATTTTATATTAAATATTTCACTATTTATAATTGTATAATTTTTTTTAACATTTTGAACAAAACCGTTTTGAACATATTGATGCAAAGATCTCTGCTATTCTGAGACCCTCACAGTATTCCAGTCCCTTTTCCTCTTGTCTACTCATAGCCCACCCCCCATCAATCCATGCCGGTTGATCAAGTTTGATAGTCCTATACCTCCCACCCTAACCTTCCCTTATATTGTAAAGCGATTTTGAGTCCTTGAAAAGCCCTATAAAAATATAATGTATTATTATTATTATTATTATTATTATTATTATTATTATTATTATTATTATAATTATACAGGTATCAGATCTGGCTGTGTAAAATAATCTTCCTGAGAGGTGTCACTTGTGATGTAGTCTGTGTGGTCTACAGTGAATGTATTCCTGACAGCAACAGGTGATAAGAATCAAAGGTTCCCATTTTTGACCCACTTATGGAAGCTTGGGGTAAAAACTACAATTTCTTAAAATTTAAATTTAAAATGTGAATGGCATGATATCCAAAACATGTTTTTTGAGGAATAGCTGGAATATGAAATGATAAAAAAATGTAATTACAAAGATACTTCAAGAAATCCACCTCACCGGGTCAAAGAAGACCCACTTATGCAGCTAAGGGTTAAGTATTTTGGAAGCAGGTAATAGTGTTTAACTTCAATTCAAACCTTATTTATTTTACATTAAGAGGGTATGATGAATTTTGTGTCATATTTTGACTCTCCTTCTTATATACCCACGTTTTTATTTGTTGTCAGTGTTTTAGTTCAATTCATAATAAACACCTAAAGAAAAATGATTCTTGATATAGAGGTGAAAATCAAACACCAACGTATGGTTTGCATTTTGTAATACCTTGCCGTTTGCAATTGCCTTCATCATTTCAAGTCTTAATTGTACAAATAAATGTTTAATTGTTTGAATTGTTGTGTGGATAATCAGGAGTGCAAACTAACAAGGCAGACAGAATATGTTGTTTTGTGTTGACAAATATAATAACAGACACTCTGCCAATCTGCTTTCTGTTCTATAGTTCCTTTGTCCGAACCAATTGAGGGTTTTTTATGCGACTGCTTTTGTAAAGTGTCTGTTTTTGTCCATTTGAGTATTGACCCAAATATGTATATATGTTCATTTTAAGGCATAAGGCAGACAGCATATGTTGTTGTTGTCATTAGACTGTTTGTTTGCGTTGTGTTGACACATTTAATAACAGACATGTTATTCCTCCCCAGGCCTGACGGAGCGCAGGTCCCGTTGCAGGGCGACCTCCCCGCCAACATGCCCCCCCACCCCATGTACATGCCCATGCAGATGCTGTGGTGGCAGCAGATGTACGCACGCCACTACTACATGCAGTAGTAAGTGATTCAAGATTCAAGGCTGTTATTGTCACGTGTGCATAGCTCCAGTGTAGTTATGTCTCTTTCTCTTCATTTTAAAGTGTTGAATCATTTTAAATGAAACCAAATCTGTATATTTGAAGGAATACACCCTCAGATTGATCTTTCGTACATACATTTTTTCCACTGCGTTATCTTGAATTTGCGATGTAACGTTTTTTCTTTCTGTCATGCCTCCACGGTGAAGAAAAAACCTACAGGCATTAAAAAGAAATGCCATGGATTGATGTGTGTTTAATAACAGCAAATCTATATTTCAAATCTATATCAAGTCTCTTTTATCCAGACCAATTCCTAAAAACACACTTTTACTAAAACCATACTATTTTAAACACTTCCGGGTAAACGGTTTCATACTTTTGCAGCCGTTCTGCTTTCTCAGTCACAAGTACTGTTTCAGTCTTTTGAAATAGTAATGTAATCATTTGAAGGTAACACGGGGGGTTTAACTGAACAACATTATGTAGATCAGTCCTTCTTTAAGTTGAGTTATTGATACTTATATTTTCTTTAAGTACCTGACCCCTCTTTCCAGAGATGGCAAAAGTACACACATCCTTAGTACAGATACTCGTGTTTAAAAATACTCTGGTGAAAGTAGAAGTACTGACTAAACTTCTTTACTCAAGTGAAAGTAAAGAGGGCTTTGAAATGTACTTCAGTAAAAAGTACCCATAACTAGCAGCTGTTTTAAAGAGTACCTGACCCCCTTTATATTAATAGAACAATAATGTCATTGTTAGCTAATGAGTGTTTCCATGCTGAACAACGGCAACATGACAACGTTTTCATTGGTCCCTCTTCTTTAGAGAAGACCAGGAAATGATGGATACACGGATCGTGTTCAAATCAATAGGCACGCAATGACTCTAAATAATAATGATCACGCCACCAAACACACATTCAAACTAAAGGAACCAGCCTGTTTGGAAAATGTAAGAAGTAGAAAGTACAGGTATTTGTGTTCAACATGTAAGAAGTAGAAAGTACAGGTATTTGGGTTCAACATGTAAGAAGTAGAAAGTACAGGTATTTGTGTTCAACATGTAAGAAGTAGTGGAGTAAAGTACAGATACCAGAAAAATGTACAAAAAAGAACAGTAACAAAGTACTCTACTACCTCCCACCTGACTCCTCTTTCCCTCTCCTCCTCTCTCTCCAGTCAAGCAGCAGTAGCCGCCTCCCAGCCTCCCAGCGACCCCCCTCCCTCCCCCCCCTCCTCCTCACCCCATCAGCCAGCCCAGCCTAATGAAGCCGTGCAGCCCCCCCCCCCGCTGGGACCCAACCCGGCCCCCAACCCGCTGCCCGAGAACCAGCCGGCCAACCCCAACATCCAGATGAACGCGCAGGGCGGCGCCGTGATGAACGACGACGAGCTGAACCGTGATTGGCTGGACTGGCTTTACACGGTGTCGCGCGCCGGAGTGCTGCTCAGCATCGTCTACTTCTACTCCTCCTTCAGCCGCTTCGCCATGGTGGTGGGGGCCATGCTGCTCGTCTACCTGTGAGTTCTTACGGTCATTAAAAACCTGGAAAAGTCATGGAAATTCAAAATGCTAATTCCAGGCCCTGGAAAAGTTATGGAAAACAATATTTTTCCCAAAGTTTTGGAAAAGTCATGGAAATGTAACTAAAGTTGCATTAAATATAATTTATATTTGATCAAATCGCCGAAATAGTAATACTATAATGATAATAAATACTGTATCGTATAGTAATGAAACGTAAAATGGCATTTAACTGTCGAGGTATTTTGCTGCTGCTCGTATACCTGTGAGTCACCTGGGTTTAAAGAGGAATGTTTGTCTTAATGTACATTATTTAATTTCATATTCTGTCCTTGTACATATCATATTCTATTTACATGTATGTAGACCTTTTGCACTATTTTCTATTTTGTACTTTTGTATTTTATTATATATGTAGCATTGTGGGAGGAGCTCAGGTCAGAAGAATTTCATTGCCATTTCTACACGTTAGCTTATGTGCATCTGACAATAAAGCCTTTGAATCTTGAATATTTGTACATTTCTCACACCTCATTCAGGCTGTAGTCAGACCGAGTGTTTACGGCAAAGGTTAGGTCCCACCTGTTGTTCTTTTTGAGTTCAACTTGTTCATGTGTGGAAGGGTTTCAAAAGAGCATTGAAGTGAAGTCTGAGAGTTTGCTGACGTTTGTGTTTCTCCTCCAGGCATCAGGCCGGTTGGTTTCCCTTCAGGCCGGATCAGCAGAACGTCGGAGGAGGAGCAGCAGCTGCAGCTGCGCCTCGAGAGGAAGCAGAGAGGCACCAAGACATACAGGAAATGGTGAGTTGGAGAATGTCCCTTAACCTGCTTAAGTTCATTTAGAATTGTTTTGGTAATGTTCAAAGTTACACAACTAGGAACTCCTACCCCCCACGTCATAACTGCGCCAGTCTGTCTGCTTTCTGTTCTGTAGTTTCTTTGTCCGAACCAATTGAGGGTTTTTCTATGCGACTGCTTTTGTAAAGTGTGCTCGTAGTGTGTCCATTTGAGTATGACCCAAATATGTTTATATGTTCATTTTAATTCATTTCTTATTTTATTGTTACTTAACTGTATATCATTTTATTTGTATCTTTAATTGTATTAATCTCTGTGTGAATCTGTGCTGTTTTTCATTCTTAACCTGTTGCTGTTAAACTACTTAATTTATTATTTATTTAATTAATAAAGGTCCATCTTATCTTATCTTATCTTATCTTATCTCGTAAAGTGCTGTATAAATTAAATGACACACGAGTGAGAAAAGTCAAAACACCGACAAACGTTATAATAATACATTTTATTTAAGACGCCTTTCACGACACCCAAGGACACCGTACAGTGTGTCAAATATTCTAAGAGGTCAAAGCAACAGAACATGATAAAAGCACAGACATACCGTCATGGAGAAGACAATTAAAGTGGACACACATGATAGGGACAGGTTATTCAGACGATAGGGAGCACTACAGTGAGTAGGCAGGTGGGTTTTGAGGAGGGTCTTGAATGTGGTGATTGTGTCAGACTGTGGGATGTGAAGGGGGGAGACAGTTCCATAGTTTGGGAGCAGCTAAAAGCCCGAGCCCCCATATATGTTATGATCACATCGTATAGCATCTCATCTTCACTGTTGTGTGTGTGTGTCTCAGGAGCGTCTGATGGACGAGGGTCTGGAGGAGGAGGACAGCGTGGAGGAGGGGGGGGGAGTCGCAGAGGACCAGGCTGCTGCTGCCCCCCCCGAGCCTCCCTTCCTCTCCACCGCCTGGTCCTTCATCAGCACCTTCTTCACCTCGCTCATCCCCGACGGACGACCCCAAGCAGCCAACTAGGCAGACCCCCCCCCCCAACCTCCCCCTGCCTGCCTCCCTCCTTCTGAAAGCAGCCACCTCTCTACAGAAGTATCTCCAGAAACGCCCCCAAAATACCCCCCAAAACGCTCAGATACACTTTGATCAGAGACTGCCCAGCCTGTCGGATACCATGCTCCGACATGCTGCCAACTAATGGACTGATGTGTAAGATAAAGCTCCTCTGGAATGTGCGAGCAGTGTGTAAAGAATAAAGGAATATATAGAAAGTGAATCTCACGTTGTGTTGGTGGAGTAAGTGCTGCAGCTGTGAAAGTGTTTTTCTTTCATCGATTGTGAGTTCATTGAGATGTCGTGATGAAGGTGAGAAACCCCCGAGAGGAGCTGTCTTCCATTTTAAGCTTCACGCTTCGGAAACTTTTTAAAAAGGGTTGTGACACCCCCCCCCCCCCACCCCCACCCCCACCACCCCAAAAAAAGAAATCTCCCTGAAATGAGAGGGAGCTTCATGAGAACATAGCATCCCTGCAGACGATGTGCGTCACGACATTGCAGCTGCTGAAGCACATTGTTTTCCAACTGTGTGTATTTGAACATTATTTACACATGTAAGTATATGCATCTTTAACTCCTCAATATATGCTTTTTTTGAATAAAAATGTTGCTGCGGTTACCACGGTCTGATGTGTTTCACTTCCTGTTATTCAACCTGTCGTTCCCCTGATGTCCTGCAGGTGGCGCTGCTCACACACTTATGGTGAAGTGTCTGAAGTAGTTGCTGATTTAAATTCCTTATACGGGACTTTAAATTGTTTTCATGCAAACTATTATTTTCACACTTTGGTGATTCTTTACGTTTAGTGGCATATCATTATTATCAGTGTCAATAATAACAATTTTCTTACAGTAATTTACAATAAGCTGTTTCTAAAATGCAGGCAACAACAGAAAGGAAATATTCAAACGCAATGCAATTTCGACTGGACAAATGAAAATAAAATACTTACTGTTATAGTTAACCATATGTATGCATATATTCATATTATTTGTGGATGTCTTACAGTCTCCAGAGATGCAATATTGTTTGAATTGCAGGTAATGTGTATGAACCTGTGAACAGTGCAGTATATAAACAAAGGCTTAATGCTGCTGCGTTGCCTGCGTCTTCACCAGGAAGTTGCACTTCGACAAGACCAAGACCAACAATCACTCAGTTCTGCTATTTTGTGAGAGGAAAAAACTCCATACAAGCATGTGGTGATAGGTCATCCCCTTTCAAACGAGGAAAGTGTTTCTTTTAGCTGTCACTGTTATTCAAAGCAACTTACAACACATTCAATTAACCATGAGGATAGCAACTTGGTATAGCAAAAATCTTGCAAATACATTCGCTTCAAATAAGCCAAACCTTTTAGACAGTCAATACTGCGATGGAAATTTCACACAGCCGAGAACGTCTACAAAAGATTCTCCCAGGTCCCAACAATAGGTTTTCGTGAGCAAAAGAAGCCCATATGTGTATACTAAGCAACTTTATTTCTGAGAGTGTAGAAAAAGGAAGTATGGGGGTGTTTCATTGACTTCTTCTTGGAGTTTTACGGCGGTTGGCATCCAGCTTAATGGTGCTTTACCGGCTTTTTCTGTTCCGAGTGTGGATCAGACAATACGCTTTGGTTCACAATCTATATCCCTTCACAATAATAATAATAATAAAATGAATAAATAACACCTCAAATCCTATGAAAACCCCCCGTACTCCTTAAGAAATATAACAGTGCCGTAACCTCCCTCACTCATGCTCATACCTAACCCTTTAAATTGAGATCCTTTATGCCTAACTCCTTAAAATGATTCCTAAATATCTCTCTGTGTGTTACATATGTTCTACATCTCAGTACTATATGCTCTACTGACTCCTCCTCCTGACATTCCTCACAAAAATGATGTTTTCCTATCAGTTTTAATGTTTTATTTAGTGCACAGTGCCTTCATCTCAACCTAGTCAACACTGTTTCTTGTCTCCTATATACTTGTATTGACTTCACCTGCAGAGAACTGTCAAGTATAATTTTCCTTTCTGTGTTGACCTTCATCAAAACAGTCACACATTTTGTACAGAATTTGAGAAGTAGGTGTATTATACCCTTGGGTTTTAAAGGAGCCTTAATGAGAGTTAGAGTTTAGTCTCTGTTGCATGTTATAGTGCAACATGCTCAGGCTGACACTCCCACAGAGGTGAGTGGAGGAGCATCTCAGACAGCGATGCACTTCAGAGTCCTCCAAACCCCCTAATCAAATGACCATGGATTTTTGTGTAGTTGGTCGTAGAAGGCCCAATTAATTATGCATGACAGCGGCTTGACGGCCATTTGATTTCGTTACGCTCGCCCCCTCCGAGCCGCCGATCCAATCAGGTTAGGACCCCCCCCCCCCCCTCTCTCTCTCTCTCTCTCTTTCTTTCCCTTATCGGAGGGGGAGATTTCTTTAAGAGGGTGTTTGGGGTCTTGTAGGACATTTCATCATCTTAATAAGTCCTTGTTATGCAGACTGTTTCCCTGCTATCAGGCCTCGTTGTCTTTGGAGAGGCAGCAGTTGGGCTGGACACATGCCACGGAGATACACTGACATTATTAAATGAGTTGGGGGAGGAAAGGGGGAGGGGGGGGAGAGTGTGACACCTGTAAGGACGAGATGCTGATGCACTGGAGCACCTGCTTTCAGTAAGGGTCCCCTCACTGAGCAGACACACCGTCATGTTTAGATGAAAACAAGATGCACTCGCAGATATATTTGGCTATTTTTCACAATATTTGAGCTGAAAGGATGTAGATAAATACAGAAATGGTGCCCCAGTGGCCCAATGGATAAGGCACTGGCCTCCTAAGCCAGGGATTGTGGGTTCGAGTCCCATCTGGGGTGATTGCTCTGTGGTGCAGGGGGGAAATCACTGTCTACCAATCAGAGGGTCAGCGATGTGATTACACATGTGTTGTAGGTGTTTCCGTCTAGCACCACTCTCTCCATAAGAAGAGCTTTATGCAAGTGTTTCCACCTGTAGAGTTGAATCTTGAGGGATATTATTGTTTTATTCAAGTTTGTTTCCATTTCACTTTGTTTTTGTTGACGTTTCTGTGATATTTTTGTTTCTCCACTATTTTCTCAACCCTCATAAATTCAATGTATTTGTGTAGAAAATACTTAATTATAGAAAATAAGAGAAGTTTTTACTCTTCAAAATAAACTACCAGATAAGGTTTAGTGTCATCTAGTGGTGAGGTTACAGATTGCGACCCACTGAACACCCCTCCACTCACTTCTTCTCTAATGCCCCTTTCACACCGGCGCTTTTTCAGCTCCGGCTCGGAGCTGGAGCTCAAAAGTACCGGTTTTTCCTGTTCACACCGCAGCGGCGCCGCCTCATAGCTCCGGAATGCGGTTCACTTCCAGCTCCAAAAAATTGTCGGTCTAGAGGCAAGAACTTCGGAGCTAAGAGGCGGCGTCGCTTACGTCTCTCTTACGTCGAGGCGTGCAGGAAACTAAACCCACCTCCCCTGAACATGGGTCGACTGAAGAGTCTCGTCATGCCTGCCTACAAGCAGTAGCGCTGAGCAAAGTGACTAGAAGGCAACCACACACTTATAAAAAAAAACACACTTTATAAAGTCAGGCAACACTAACCAGGCTTCGTGTGATTCTGTTTATTTGTACCTTACTTTGACCATCCGTTCGCTGTTATTGATCATTGTGGAGAGCAGGCAGACGTTTTGTTTGTTATTATAGCAGCTATCGGATGGAATCAATACATGGGCTGCATAGGTTGTCATGTCCGACTATCACAAGTAGAATCATAATGAAAAATAAGCCGGTAAAAAGTGCCTGTAGAAAACGGCTTAGCAAGTAGTCAGTTTAGCTTCGGTTGCTATGCTAACATCACCCATGTTATACCAGAGAAACTTTCATAACAGCGTTGTGATGCCAAACAGCGTCAATTCAGACTGACACACATTCACTTAAGGGGAACTGGGGATATGTAACAGCTGCTTGTGTGACAGTCAGACAGTGAATACTTTAGAGCCGTGTGAGCTAACGGGAGAATAAACTCCCGTGGAAGAGCAGCCAGCACTGCAGCGGTCGGTAAATGCCGCTGAAACACATTAATAAACAATGAACCACGGCACTCTGGAGAAAAGTATAAGGTTGGAGAAGTCGTTATTTAATTTAATCTGGCTTCGTATGATTAAAAGCAACACGATCATCGAGCCGACGCAGTCCCCCCCCGTTGTTGTTGTTGTTGTGAGCTCCGTTGGGGAGAAAATCAGCGATGTAAACGGTGACGTCATGACGCAGCAGCGGCAGCTCTGGGCGGTGTGAACAGAGCGGGAAGCTAGGAGCTAGAAAGGGAAAAGCGATGGTGTGAAAGCCGCATAAGTGGGTTGAAGATGCTACTGGGCCACCGGTAACGTAAACGTGAAAAGCCCTCTCTAGATTTGTGTCCCTCCTGAGCTACTGTAGAAACGTGGCCGTGCATCATGGCTAACTTTGAAGAAGACTCTCTGTGTATATATGTAGGGATCATTCAAGCTAAAGAAAACACATCTATTCTAAAAAACCAGTGTAGCTTGTAGGCAGGGGCGGACTGGCCATTGGGAATACCGGGAGTGTTCCCGGTGGGCCGGTACCGAAGTGGGCCGGTCGGACAATTCACTAACCCCCCCCGTTGACAATTGACTAGCGGTACAGAGTTGGGACGGTCGGCCGGTCGAGTCTCCCGGGCTGATTTTTAGTCCCAGTCCGCCCCTGCTTGTAGGTGATATTTAATGACATGTAAAGTGGAGTTTCTTGGTCGGCTCTGACACTAAAAGGAAAAATACTTCTCTGATCTTTTGGTCGACGTGATCCTCCGACTGACCACTGTCGAAAACGTAGAAAATGTTTGAGAAACCTAGAAATGTAACGTAATTATCGTGTTATTCAAATGATTACCAAACGTAACTGCTTCCATATCAAAACAGCTTGGGTTTTCTTCATTAGCTTAACCTTGAATTAGACTTTTTTGCAGAGAGTTGTACCTATGGTGTCTGTCTCTCTGAGTATTTGTACGACAGGAAGAGGATTATTTCTCTCTACATTTATTAAAATATACGTCTGTGAACACTTCTCTATGCCGAGATAAGCCGATCACCTGACACAGGTGTGGCACATGAAGATGCTGATAAACAGCACCATTACACAGGTGGGCCTTGGACTCTTCAAAATAAAAGCCCACTCAGTGTAAACGTGTGCATAGCAGAAGTTATTTAACTTGTGAAAAATAGGAGCAAAATGTGTTCATATTTGTGTTGTATACATTGTAAATACACAACCGAAGTAAAGTACCTCAAACATTTTTAATATTGTGCAATACTACAATGTTTCCCCTCTGATTTTGGGTTATTTCTTAAAGGCATTAAATAAATAAATACTTTAGAGTCCCATAAGTATGCGAGGTAATCTGACAGCAGCCTTAATGTCAGACTCAGTTGAAACCTGGGGCAAAAGGATTTGTTCTCCAGCAGAATCCCAATGGTTTGTGGGCATGAAGTGAATTTAGTTGGATCTCCATCAGGAAGTCCTGTCGTCTCTCTTTGTCCTCGGGCAACTTTGCTTTCAAGGTGTATTTCCTCTAAAACGATGTTCCA